TTCTTCCTCCATACTCGGGGTCCTTGGGCCTCTCCATTCTTCCTCCATACTCGGGGTCCTTGGGCCTCTCCATTCTTCCTCCATACTCGGGGTCCTTGGGCCTCTCCATTCTTCCTCCATACTCGGGGTCCTTGTGCCTCTCCATTCTTCCTCCATACTCGGGGTCCTTGGGCCTCTCCATTCTTCCTCCATACTCGGGGTCCTTGGGCCTCTCCATTCTTCCTTCATACTCGGGGCCCTTGGGCCTCTCCATTCTTCCTCCATACTCGGGGTCCTTGGGCCTCTCCATTCTTCCTCCATACTCGGGGTCCTTGTGCCTTTCCATTCTTCCTCCATACTCTGGGTCCTTGTGCCTCTCCATTCTTCCTCCATACTCGGGGTCCTTGGGCCTCTCCATTCTTCCTCCATACTCGGGGTTCTTGGGCCTCTCCATTCTTCCTCCATACTCTGGGTCCTTGGACCTCTCCATTCTTCCTCCATACTCGGGGTCCTCGGGTCTCTCCATTCTTCCTCCATACTCGGGTCCTTGTGCCTCTCCATTCTTCCTCCATACTCGGGGTCCTTGGTTTCCAAATGAGATGCAAAAGTTGCTCTCATCAGAAAAGAGGACTTTGGACCACTGAGCAACAGACCAGGTCTGTTTTTCTTTAGCCCAGGTAAGACACTTCTGACATTGTTTGTTGTTCAGGAGCGGCTTGACAAGAGGAATACGACATTTGAAGCCCATGTCCAGGATCCGTCTGTGTGTGGTGGCTCTTGATGCACTGACTCCAGCCTCAGTCCACTCCTTGTGAAAGTCCCCAACACTTTTGAATGGCCTTTTCCTGACAATCCTCTCCAGGCTGCGGTCATCCCTGCTGCTTGTGCACCTTTTTCTTCCACACTTTTCCCTCCCACATAACTTTCTATTAATGTGCTTTGATACAGCACTTTGGGAACATCCAACTTCTTCTGCAATTCCCTTTTGAGGCTTTCCCTCCTTATGGAGGGTGTCAGTGATGGTGTCAGGTCAGCAGTCTTTCCCATGATTGTGATTCCTACTGAACCAGACTGAGAGACCATTGAAAGGCTCAGGAACCCTTTGCAGGTGTTATGGCTGAATGAGCTGATTAGAGTGGGACACTTTGAGCCGAGATTATTCCACCTTTTCACAATATTCTCATTTTCTGAGATTGTGGATTTGGGGTTTTCATGAGCTGTAAGCCATAATCATCACAATGATGACAAATCACGGCTGGAACTATCTTGCTTTGCATGGAATGAGTCTCATATATTAGTTTCACCTTTTAAGTTGCTGCCCTGAAATAAATGAATGAATGAATGAATGAATGCACCAGATTCTAATTTTTTGAGTTTCACCTGTATGTGTATATGTGTATATATAATTGTAAGTATTATAGATTTCTTGCTTTACTTGGTATACTTTTCATATTAATGATAATAACATAAAAATCACACATCCAATGGTGCAATTGGTGACCCAATCATGAGATAGAATGAATCACAACAGACTAGATGTGACCCCCATCCCACTCACTAAATGTGAATGGTGAGCATTGAACCAGTATCATAGGTGAATGAGGTCCATACATGAGATAATGGTGCTCCACTCCATGCGGTCACAATAATGTAAGTGATCACACAATACGCTCCAAGTGATGGTGAGTGATAATCCTCCTGCGGCTAAACTGCCCCCCCCACCTCCAGTCTGCGGCCCAAAAGGACCTACACTCCTTTAAGACCGCTCAGGATCTCCATCCACACAATGACAGATATCACCAGCTGCTTTCCTATGGACCTCTCATCCGGTGGTCGATTCAGGACAGACTGGCTGTCGGTCTCAGCAGGATTTACCTCTCCCCCGGATGATATAAACACAGGAAGAACCTCACACAGCGTAATACGCCACAAAACTCTGTGTATGGGTGTACTGCACGGGTAATTAGGATAGACTCAAGGTGTACAAAAATGGCGGCCGTACCGGAAGTACGTCACCGCAACCGGATGCTGCGTCACTGCGTATCGACGCGTTGCGTCACCGTCACATGACTTCGTCAGGATATGGCATATTACGCTATGTGAGGTTCTTCCTGTGTTTATATCATCCGGGGGAGAGGTAAATCCTGCTGAGATCGACAGCCAGTCTGTCCTGAATCGACCACCGGATGAGAGGTCCATAGGAAAGCAGCTGGTGATATCTGTCATTGTGTGGATCGAGATCCTGAGCGGTCTTAAAGGAGTGTAGGTCCTTCTGGGCCGCAGACTGGAGGTGAGGGGGCAGTTTAGCCGCAGGAGGATTATCACTCACCATCACTTGGAGCGTATTGTGTGATCACTTACATTATTGTGACCGCATGGAGTGGAGCACCATTACCTCATGTATGGACCTCATTCACCTATGATACTGGTTCAATGCTCACCTTCTCGGCCTTTTGGCTAAGATCAAGTGTAGTATCTGTTCTTATCAGTGTCCAGTGGGGGTGCTACCGACCATTCTAGT